ATATCAATGATGTTCATGATGTTCCTGGAGAACTCTGCCTTGCTGGGACAGGCAAAGAAGCGCACAAGCAGCTCAAAAGTGAACCAGATGACACACGTGGTCTCTACAATGAAGAAAGGGTCTGCCAATGTCCTAGGCAGGAGTGGGGCCACTGTGGGGCCAGAGGGAGGTGCCATGGCCCCACTGCCATTGGTCCCTGAGGCGGGGGCAGAAGGCTGGTGAGGCACTGGGGATGTTGAAGAAGCTCACGTTCATCCCTGAACTCAGGCAGGGTCTCCAAGCAGAAGGTGATGATAGAAATGAGAATGACTAAGACGGAGACGATGGCGATGGCCCGTGCAGACCCAGAGCTTTCCGGGTATTCAAAGATCAGCCACACCTGACGTTGGAACTCGTTACGGGGCAGGGGTTTCTCCTCTTCTTTAATGAAGCCCTCGTCCTCCCGGAAGCGCTCCATGGCCTCGTCCCCCAGCTGGTAAAAGCGGATCTCATCTGCGAATACGTCCAGGGAGACATTGACTGGCCTCCGCAGGCGCCCTCCAGACTGGTAGTAGTAGAGGATGCCATCGAAGCTGGGCCGATTGCGGTCGAAGAAGTACTCATTTCTCAGAGGGTCAAAGTAGCGCAGACGCTTGGCTGGGTCCCCCAGGAGGGTATTGGGGAACTGWGCCAAGGTGCCCAGCTGCGTCTCGAAGCGCAGCCCAGAGATGTTTATGAGAACTCGCTGGTGGTGAAGGGACCCCGCTCCCAGTACTGGTACCTGGTCCTCCACCATGCCCAAGCTGGGGTCGCCTTCTCCCTCCTCATCCTCTGGAGTGGGCCGTCTAGGCTGAGGCAGTTCCTGAGGCAGCGGAGGCAAAGGTCGCCCTCCTGGGTCCTTGCCCCTCTGTGTGCTGCGCCCCCTTGGAGCCTGCTCCTTGTGCCCATCGCTAAGCCCAGCCGTCGGAGGATACTGAAGCTCTCCTCCCCGGTGGTCTGACCACAGCCTGCTCTTGCCTCACCTTCTCCTCTGATGGTCATGGCACCTCCGTTCTCCAGGGGCACCAGGGTGATCTCCATGGCCCCGGAGCAGGGGGCATGCTGCTCCCTAGCCAAGGGCTCTTGCGCCCCCCACTCAGGTTCCGCCTGCACCTCTTGTTGGGCTCCTCTCCTGCAGTCCGCTGGTCTGGCTTTGGGGCGGGCTGGGGTTGCTGGCACGATCCTCTTCCTTGGTCCTGACGTCAAGAGCTGCTGCCCTGCTCTATGCTCCTCTCCCTCTCTCTCCCTCTCTCTCTCTCTGTTCTGGCAGCTGGTTACCAGGCAGCCGAAAAGCCTCCTTCCAGCAGATGCAACCTTCAGCCGCCCCTCTGGCTGCGCTGCTGCACGGCCTCCACCCTTTGTGCCTCCCCCGCCTTCTTCTCCAGCTTCCCTTCCCGAGTGTGTGGCAGCGGGTGTCTCCCAAGAGGGCGCAGCTGGGGCCCTGGGCTAGAGAAAGGAGAGGGGGGGCGAGAAGGTCCCCACACCCTCGAAGGGTGGAAGAGAGGGAGGGAGCCGCGCGAGAGAGGAACTGGTTGTACTGAGACCGTAGAAACTCCCAGGGCAACCAGATGAGAACAGCTCTGCATTTCAGTTCACCTGGGAACCCGCTGAAAGCCGAATGGACCCGAGGGGAAATCAACTATCATGCAATGAAAGCACTAAGCTTTG